AGGGGTGGTGTCTATAGAATAAAGATCATTCAACCGCAGCTACGGTAATTTTTTACAAAACAACCATCAAGTCAAAAATGAAAGAAACTTTACTTTTTTTTTAACAATAAAAAAATGTTTTCTCTGGGCACCTAAATGGCGTGCTCCCCCCCCCCCCCCCCATTGCGGGGTCTGGCGGCACTGTAAAAATTTCTTTTATTTCAGATTATTCAAACATTATCTACAATGTGCAATACAAAATGAAGCTGCCGAATCAGAAACTGTTACAACATTTATGATAATAAACACAAACCAAAATAAAAACGGAATTCCCTTGACTTTAGCAACCATTCCGTGTCTCAAGTGGGAAGATCTGCATCCTAAAGAACTCAGCGAAGATCATCTGGAAAAAGATCTACAAATTCAAGATTTGATCTCCATCTTGTTCGATGACCACGTGGATAACCTTGTGAAACTTTTTTGTTTTTTGATGCAAGAAGATTTCTCTGCCTATGAGGGCCAAGTTCAGCCGTTACCACCAGCAGAAGATGACACGGTCGACTTGCTTGCAAGCGGTGGCGTCTGCTTAAGGGAGAGTTAGTCATTAGTTTAAATCCTGTCAAATGTCGATCGTTTGGGTCACAACAGGGAGTGGTCATTTGGTATAAGTTAAGCAAACGGTAGCAAATGTTTGTAGTATTGTATCGTGGCTGGTTTCTGCATAATGTATTTCTCGCTGGGGCTGTGAGTCTATGTACACTCCAGCCTATTGATAACACTAGAGTTACAGCAATGGTTAGGGTAAGGTACAGTGAGATAATGGGTGTGGGGGTGTATATATATATGCCTATATATATATATATATATATATATATATATATATATATATATATATATATATATATATAGGCCTATAGTCCTAATTTTTTTTTAAATTGATTTTTCAACGGAGTACCTCCCACCCCTCCTATTGGGTTCCATTTAAGAAGTAATATAGTTAAAAATATTTTTTCAGATCGGAGTATATTTGGTGGGCGCTACCTGAGCCAAATTACTCAGTGTTTTTTTTTTTAAGATTCAGCTTACAAAATTTTATTTTTATTATGACTTGAAACTCACCCCCCGCCCCCCAAATGTTAATTTATAGAAGTTGGAAACCTTCCCGGGAGTATTCTCAAAGTTTCATGCATAAAAGAAAAAAAAAAACACTTTCATTACTTTCTCGAATATACGAAGTAGGCCTATAGAGAAAGTATTGTAATCGTGCAAAAAAAAATCGAGATTTTTACAAATCTCACGTTTTACACCTCACTGATACGGAAAAACATCATTTTGCAATCTTGTCCGTATGTCTCTGTGTGTGTGTGTGTGTGTGTGTAAACACGATTACTTGAGTACCGTTACAGCTAGGTTGATGAAATTTCATATATAAGTATTTTATCAAAATCGTAGATCCGTATCAACTTTTGAGCGATTTCCAATAACCGGAAGTGGTACTTTTTCTACTTTGAATTTTTCAAAAGCCTATAACTTGAATACTATTTCAGATAGATAAATGAAATTTCACATGTAAGTAAGTAAAAGATCTAATTCTCTACCTTCTGTCAAATTTTGAGTAATTTCCGTTGACCGGAAGTACTAATTTACGCTATTTCCGATTTCTCAAAAAAACGCACGTAAATTTATAAAGTACTAATAATATCCCGCACTATTATGCACATTTTATTAGGCGTTCACTTAGTGTGCAATTCTTTTTTTTTTACGAGATTCCATTCTATTATAAAAAGTTTAAGTAATTAAAAATGGATTGCGAATATTGTCTATGTCCTGAGTTGCCATCCCTCGTAGTTTTATATTAGAATATCCGAGAAAGTTTAGGGGAGATCACTCCCGGTTTATTTTTATATAGTTACATAGGGATATAGGTAAACATTTTAATTGCGTGGCCCACGTCAAAATAGCATGGAAGACGTAGGCCCAAATATAAACTGTTTATTGACTTTAATTGTTGTTGTTCTCTAGTTAACATTATATAAATATTGGCCCCATCTGTTTCTACAGTGAAGGGCAGCCACATTTTGCAGGAGTGGCTCTGCTCCTCCGCCCCCCCCCCCCCCTTATGAGATGTCTGGAAGAAACTATGCCTCTTCTTTCGTGAAATTAAATAATCTAAATATGAACTATGAGTGACATACTTTTTTAAAATGTGATTTTATAATCCTTTTCCGCTGTGTGCTTTTTTCTATACAAATGTTATTTTATTTGTGAATCCTCTTCTTAAAGGAAGTTACAACGGGGAGTTAACCAAATGATTGCTGCTATTTGTACATGTTTTATCTCCCCCAGTACTATTACTTACAATAACAAAACACAAACATCAAAATATAATATAGGCTAATTAGGTTACCATATTCAATTTGATATTTATTTCTTAATACATGAGAAAAGGTTTATTCGGCTGATCATCCCAATAAACATTAGTGTCTAGATGTAATCCTTTCAGATATTTTTGTTAAACTTTGCTATGCTTTAAATAAAAACTTTAACAAATGAGTTTCTAAAAATAAAATTCTAGATTCCATTTGTAAGTGGACAGCACATAACACTGTGATAAAGTACACTCCTTTTCTGAAGAGCACTTGGATAAAGAAAACAAGACCAATCATAGAGATGGTTTTACTAAGGGTAATATGCATTTCCAACATCTTGGGTAGCAGCTGCCATCTGTTCAGGGGTAAGGCACCCAGTGGTATAGATATTGTATCTGTAGAAAGTCATAAAACATACATTTATATAGATATTGTATCTGTAAACAGTCATAAAACATACATTTATATAGATATTGTATCTGTAAACAGTCATAAAACATACATTTATATAGATATTGTATCTGTAAACAGTCATAAAACATACATTTATATAGATATTGTATCTGTAGACAGTCATAAAACATACATTTATATAGATATTGTATAAAACACATTTATTTAGATATTGTATCTGTAGACTGTCATAAAACATACATTTATATAGATATTGTATCTGTAAACAGTCATAAAACATACATTTATATAGATATTGTATCTGTAGAAAGTCATAAAACATACATTTATATAGATATTGTATAAAACATACATTTATATAGATATTGTATCTGTAGAAAGTCATAAAACATACATTTATATAGATATTGTATCTGTAAACAGTCATAAAACATACATTTATATAGATATTGTATCTGTAAACAGTCATAAAACATACATTTATATAGATATTGTATCTGTAAACAGTCATAAAACATACATTTATATAGATATTGTATCTGTAAACAGTCATAAAACATACATTTATATAGATATTGTATCTGTAGACAGTCATAAAACATACATTTATATAGATATTGTATAAAACACATTTATTTAGATATTGTATCTGTAGACTGTCATAAAACATACATTTATATAGATATTGTATCTGTAAACAGTCATAAAACATACATTTATATAGATATTGTATCTGTAGAAAGTCATAAAACATACATTTATATAGATATTGTATAAAACATACATTTATATAGATATTGTATCTGTAGAAAGTCATAAAACATACATTTATATAGATATTGTATCTGTAAACAGTCATAAAACATACATTTATATAGATATTGTATCTGTAGAAAGTCATAAAACATACATTTATATAGATATTGTATCTGTAGACAGTCATAAAACATACATTTATCTAGATATTGTATCTGTAGACAGTCATAAAACATACATTTATATTTGTATCTGTAGCCAATAAATAAAACAAATTTTATCAAGAAATGACATTTTTGAGTCTGAATTTTTAAATTAAAAAAAAAAACACTTCATTTTTACTAACCAACTATTCAAAATATAAAAAGCTATATGGATGACATAATTAAGTAAAGACAGGTGTTGTCAGTTAATGAACAAGTTTTACCTTGTATCTGGGCAAGCCTTGACCCTCTGTAGCATGCCAGTCCTGCACACATACACATGCTGGGGGGAGGCCAGATCAGGGTAGACAACCACCTTGTAGCGATCACTGTCCTTACCCACTCGTGGGTCACAAGGAAAGGTGCAGTCTAAAGACATATACAAAAGTTTAGGTGCAGTCTAAAGACATAAACAAAAGTTTAGGTGCAGTCTACAGACATAAACAAAAGTTTTGGTGCAGTCTAAAGACATAAACAAAAGTTTTGGTGCAGTCTAAAGACATAAACAAAAGTTTTGGTGCAGTCTAAAGACATAAACAAAAGTTTAGGTGCAGTCTACAGACATAAACAAATGTTTAGGTGCAGTCTAAAGACATAAACAAAATTTTAGACGCAGTCTAAAGACATAAAAATTTTTTTAGGCGCAGTCTAAAGACATAAACAAAAGTTTTGGTGCAGTCTACAGACATAAACAAAAGTTTAGGTGCATTCTACAGACATAAACAAAAGTTTAGGTGCAGTCTACAGACATAAAAGTTTAGGTGCATTCTACAGACATAAACAAAAGTTTAGGTGCACTCTACAGACATAAACAAAAGTTTAGGTGCAGTCTACAGACATAAAAGTTAAGGTGCATTCTACAGACATAAACAAAAGTTTAGGTGCAGTCTACAGACATAAACAAAAGTTTAGGTGCAGTCTACAGACATAAACAAAAGTTTAGGTGCAGTCTACAGACATAAACAAAAGTTTAGGTACATTCTACTGATATAACTGGTGAAGTGCATTCTACAGACAAAAACAAATGTTGAATTGCATTCTAAAGATGTGTAAAACTGATATCAAGTATAAATGTGTAGCATATATTAAAGTCCATTTATATAAGGCTTTAGCTAAAAATACTAGCAGTCTCTATCAATATCTTTTTGTTTCACTTTTAAAATATAAAACTGATCAACCAAAATGTTTTTGTAATGCCAACACCAATGTGATCAACCAAAATGTGTGTGATGCCACTCACTAACTGACAAACATATCAACCCAAATATTTGTGTTGCTCAACATACCAGCAGAACTCTCACAGCGAGCGCCAGTAAACCCAGCAGGACAGGCGCATGTCTTGGCTGAGTCCGGGCTGTCAACTGGCAGAATCTCAGGGACCTTGCAGATGCCACCGTTCTCACACCCACCACAGGGGTCTGACCACAAAAAAAAAAAAAAAAATTAAAGCATTAAAGCATTGTTGTATAGTTCAGTTCATCAAGGTTTTTAAAACTTTACAATAAAAAACTTTTAAAATAAATAAAAACAAAAGGAATTTATTAACATATTTAAAAAGTTTATAAACCTTCCATTTACTTTTTAAAATAGAAGAGTGCTTTTCTAGTTAGTAAAGTTTTATAGAGCAGATTTTAGATGAAATCTCACCTAATGGAGTCTCACAGTAAGCTCCAGTGAAGCCACTAGGACAGGTACAATCTGCTCCGTTAGCGCCATCCACACATGTGCCATTATTCAAACATTTAATCTTGCTGTCAGCACATGTCCCTGGTTGGTTTAGTCAGGACATTTATAAACAATTATAGACAACAATTATAAACAACAAATATAAACAATGACAATTTTTAAAATTATATCTAATAAAAATAAACATAATAAAGCTGAATTAATTTGTAAGTAAGTAAAATGAAAATCTTATCTAAATGTGAACATTTATTATATTCTATATTTGCAGTAAAGATAAAATTGCAGATGTAAAAATTACATACATATATATAAATATTTGTGTATATGTGTATTTAAAACATCATTAGAAACTAATTCTACATATTTTCTTGACAACATCAATAAAAAACAAGGGCTTCTAAATACCACACCACCACAACAGTGGAACAACTTACGTTTGACCTCACAAGTTGGACCAGTCCAACCAAACGTACAGCCACAGACGTAGCCTTGTTCAGAGTCGCAGCACTCTCCGCCATTCTTACATGGGTAGTTGTTGGCACCACAATCAACTCCTGATAGGGAAAACACATTAAAGGTCCAACGTTTTAAATCACATACAATCTACAGCATGGTTTAGATGTGTAACTAGTATTTCTGACATCAACTTCAGCTATGTAGAGGGAATGATGGAGGTAATTAAATGAAAAATTGGTTAACACAATAACTGGGAGTATAATTATTTGTAGTTACAATGTCTGAATAAAATCACTTGAATTTTCTGGACACTGGACCTTCTGTATGACAGGACACCAACAGGTGACCTAATGGTCCATGACAGTTTGGTGGCTGGACTGACCAGGACACCAGACTGGCTATAACAGGTGACCTAATGGTCCATGACAGTTTGGTGGCTGGACTGACCAGGAAACCAAACTGGCTATAACAGGTGACTTAATGGTCCATGAGAGTTTGGTGGCTGGACTGACCAGGACACCAGACTGGCTATAACAGGTGACCTAATGGTCTGACCAGTACACCACTGGCTATAACAGATGACCTAATGGTCTGACCAGTACACCACTGGCTATAACAGATGACCTAATGGTCCATGAGAGTTTGGTGGCTGGACTGACCAGGACACCAGACTGGCTATAACAGGTGACCTAATGGTCCATGAGAGTTTGGTGGCTGGACTGACCAGGACACCAGACTGGCCACCAACAGGTGACCTAATGGTCTGACCAGTACACCACTGGCTATAACAGATGACCTAATGGCCTGACCAGTATACCACTGGCTATAACAGATGACCTAATGGTCCATAAGAGTTTGGTGGCTGGACTGACCAGAACACCAGACTGGCTATAACAGATGACCTAATGGTCTGACCAGTACACCACTGGCTATAACAGATGACCTAATGGTCCATGAGAGTTTGGTGGCTGGACTGACCAGAACACCAGACTGGCTATAACAGATGATCTAATGGTCTGACCAGTACACCACTGGCTATAACAGATGACCTAATGGTTTGACCAGTACACAAGACTGGCTATAACAGATGACCTAATGGTCCATGAGAGTTTGGTGGCTGGACTGACCAGGACACCAGACTGGCTATAACAAGTGACCTAATGGTCCATGAGAGTTTGGTGGCTGGACTGACCAGGACACCAGACTGGCTATAACAGGTGACCTAATGGTCTGACCAGTACACCACTGGCTATAACAGATGACCTAATGGTCTGACCAGTACACCACTGGCTATAACAGATGACCTAATGGTCCATGAGAGTTTGGTGGCTGGACTGACCAGGACACCAGACTGGCTATAACAGATGACCTAATGGTCTGACCAGTACACCACTGGCTATAACAGATGACCTAATGGTCTGACCAGTACACCACTGGCTATAACAGATGACCTAATGGTCCATGAGAGTTTGGTGGCTGGACTGACCAGGACACCAGACTGGCTATAACAGATGACCTAATGGTCCATGAGAGTTTGGTGGCTGGACTGACCAGGACACCAGACTGGCTATAACAGGTGACCTAATGGTCCATGAGAGTTAGGTGGCTGGACTGACCAGGACACCAGACTGGCCACCAACAGGTGACCTAATGGTCTGACCAGTACACCACTGGCTATAACAGATGACCTAATGGTCCATGAGAGTTTGGTGGCTGGACTGACCAGGACACCAGACTGGCTATAACAGGTGACCTAATGGTCCATGACAGTTTGGTGGCTGGACTGACCAGGAAACCAAACTGGCTATAACAGGTGACTTAATGGTCCATGAGAGTTTGGTGGCTGGACTGACCAGGACACCAGACTGGCTATAACAGGTGACCTAATGGTCTGACCAGTACACCACTGGCTATAACAGATGACCTAATGGTCTGACCAGTACACCACTGGCTATAACAGATGACCTAATGGTCCATGAGAGTTTGGTGGCTGGACTGACCAGGACACCAGACTGGCTATAACAGGTGACCTAATGGTCCATGAGAGTTTGGTGGCTGGACTGACCAGGACACCAGACTGGCCACCAACAGGTGACCTAATGGTCTGACCAGTACACCACTGGCTATAACAGATGACCTAATGGCCTGACCAGTATACCACTGGCTATAACAGATGACCTAATGGTCCATAAGAGTTTGGTGGCTGGACTGACCAGAACACCAGACTGGCTATAACAGATGACCTAATGGTCTGACCAGTACACCACTGGCTATAACAGATGACCTAATGGTCCATGAGAGTTTGGTGGCTGGACTGACCAGAACACCAGACTGGCTATAACAGATGATCTAATGGTCTGACCAGTACACCACTGGCTATAACAGATGACCTAATGGTTTGACCAGTACACAAGACTGGCTATAACAGATGACCTAATGGTCCATGAGAGTTTGGTGGCTGGACTGACCAGGACACCAGACTGGCTATAACAAGTGACCTAATGGTCCATGAGAGTTTGGTGGCTGGACTGACCAGGACACCAGACTGGCTATAACAGGTGACCTAATGGTCTGACCAGTACACCACTGGCTATAACAGATGACCTAATGGTCTGACCAGTACACCACTGGCTATAACAGATGACCTAATGGTCCATGAGAGTTTGGTGGCTGGACTGACCAGGACACCAGACTGGCTATAACAGATGACCTAATGGTCTGACCAGTACACCACTGGCTATAACAGATGACCTAATGGTCTGACCAGTACACCACTGGCTATAACAGATGACCTAATGGTCCATGAGAGTTTGGTGGCTGGACTGACCAGGACACCAGACTGGCTATAACAGATGACCTAATGGTCCATGAGAGTTTGGTGGCTGGACTGACCAGGACACCAGACTGGCTATAACAGGTGACCTAATGGTCCATGAGAGTTAGGTGGCTGGACTGACCAGGACACCAGACTGGCCACCAACAGGTGACCTAATGGTCTGACCAGTACACCACTGGCTATAACAGATGACCTAATGGTCCATGAGAGTTTGGTGGCTGGACTGACCAGGACACCAGACTGGCCACCAACAGGTGACCTAATGGTCTGACCAGAACACCAGACTGGCTATAACAGATGACCTAATGGTCTGACCAGTACACCACTGGCTATAACAGATGACCTAATGGTCCATGAGAGTTTGGTGGCTGGACTGACCAGAACACCAGACTGGCTATAACAGATGACCTAATGGTTTGACCAGTACACCACTGGCTATAACAGATGACCTAATGGTTTGACCAGTACACAAGACTGGCTATAACAGATGACCTAATGGTCCATGAGAGTTTGGTGGCTGGACTGACCAGGACACCAGACTGGCCACCAACAGGTGACCTGTTATTCCCACCTGTAATTAAAACTAACTTTTCTATTCCCACCTGTAATTAACCATTAATGTCCCATTCATTCTACCAAAACTCCACCCATGACGGCCCAATGTAAGGAGCATAACTCTGTATGATCAAGTGAATAGTTTCACAAAATATTTGTTTTTGTCTAAATAAAATTGAAAATTAAGATAAAAACTACTGCTTAATGTTGGGAATAAACCTGGCTTTCCAACAGTATTAAATAGAATATATTATATTCGGTAAAAGTACAGTAAAAAAATAAAAAATGTCGGAGAAAATTCAAAACAGGTCATTTTCGGTAGTCAACTTTATTTATTTTTGTCTAAACAACTAAGCATCGAATTTAACAGTTAAATATCAATTTGGTTATGTTTAAGATAAATAATTCATAAAATACATGCCTAGATACGTTTAGAGGCATTATTTTATTTTATTTTTAATATTAAATCTACTAAAAAAAGGACAGATGAGTCTAAAATTTCGAGATCGAAAGAAGCTATTATTTTTTATCTTTCAAAAGCGCCATTGAAATTATAAGACCGGAAAAGGACGCTGAAACTATCCGACTTCCTGTTTAGTTAAAAATTAGGATTTGTAGGCCAAATTTTAATGAAACAAATTTAATTTTTCTATGCGTATTTTAAGCGGGCGGCAGCGGGCGTTACGGGACATTAACGGTGTCGGGCGGCAGCGGGCGTTACGGGACATTAATGGTTAAAAACTAACTTTGATATTTCCTGTAATGAATCACTTACTGTTCTCACAGAACTCCCCTGAAGTACCATCAGGACAGATGCAGGCAGCCTTGTTGCCACTGACACCACAGGTACCACCATTCAAACACTTGATGGTGCTGCAGTCTACCTCTGTGGACAACATCACAAGTTTATACTGAGAGTTACATCAACAAGTGGCAACAACTTTGATAAAATAAGCTGTACATATTCAATATGGTTATATGTAGTCACTGACAAGTTCTAGGCTCAAATATTTTAATTAATTTAATCATCTTCACAACGAAATTTTAAAAATCATAATTTATTTAATGAACTAACCAAGAGTCTAAAAAATAATAATAAATAAAAACTATTTAATACATAGAATGCAAATTGGATAAATCAAAATTTAAAGGAAGTTAATGGGAAAGAACATCACATAAGGTACATCCATGTTAGGGATAGAAATTTAAGGACCATAATATTAGGGACTTTAAAGTGATGGACCAAAAAATGTGACTCACTGATTTCACAGAAAATACCGGCGTATCCAGCAGGGCAGGTACAGCTGAGAGCACCATCAGCAGACGCAGAGCAGACTCCACCATTGGTGCAATTGATAAAGCCACAAGGATCACCTGGAAAACAATTATATATCGAGAAATTAAGCTTTCAGTGAAAAGTTGCTAATTAATTTAATATTAATGACCAGTGATACATTTTATAAAAGCAGCATTAAAAACTATGGGTAGATTAGGGAGTGCTTTATTTTTCTAGTTGGGTGTGTTACAGGTAGAGGGTAACTAATGGAACTACATAAAAAAAGTGCTAAAGATGTAAAGCAGAATCAGACATACGTGTTTCACACTTGGTTCCAGTGAAGCCCCTAGGACACGTACATGTGGGCTGTCCAGCAATCACTTCACAGTGTCCGCCATTCTCACAGCCGTAGCCCAGACAAGAGGTCACTGCAACACACAGCAGTGTTATACAGCAATGGTACACAAAAGTGGAACACAGCAATGTTATACAGCAATGTTACACAGCAATGGTACACAGCAATGTTATACAGCAATGGTACACAGCAATGTTATACAGCAATGGTACACAAAAGTGGTACACAGCAATGTTATACAGCAATGTTATACAGCAATGGTACACAGCAATGTTATACAGCAATGGTACACAGCAATGTTATACAGCAATGGTACACAAAAATGGTACACAGCAATGTTATACAGCAATGGTACACAGCAATGGTACACAAAAGTGGTACACAGCAATGTTATACAGCAATGTTACACAGCAGTGTTATACAGCAATGGTACACAAAAGTTGTACACAGCAGTGTTATACAGCAATGTTACACAGCAGTGTTATACAGCAATGGTACACAGCAACGTTACACAGCAATGGTACACAAAAATGGTACACAGCAATGGTACACAGCAATGGTACACAGCAATGGTACACAAAAGTGATACACAGCAATGTTATACATCAATGGTACACAGCAATGGTACACAAAAGTGATACACAACTATATTGCACAGCAATGTTATACAGCAATGGTACACAAGTGGTTCACAACTATGTTACATAACTAAGTTACACAACAATATTACACAACTATATTATACAACAATTTTCTACCCCTATGTTACACAGCTATGGTACATAGCAGTGTAACTTAAGCATGCATAGATGTGATTCCACAAACAGCTGATGTAACATTGACAAAACTTGATTTACAATGCTTACATCACAGCTAACAATGTGATGTTGACTGTTCAGATGAAACTAAAGTAAAATCAGCTTACAAAAACAACTTACATATTTCACATCTTGGGCCAGTGAAGCCATCAGGACATACACAGGTGAGGTAGCCATAGGAATAGGCACAGCTGCCACCATTCATGCATGACGTGTAGCAGCATGGATTCAGCACTGACAGGAAGAAAATTTAGTTTTACATGACATGTGGCAGCACTGACAGGAAGAAAATTTAGTTTACATGACATGTAGCAGCACTGACAGGAAGAAAATTTAGTTTACATGACATGTGGCAGCACTGACAGGAAGAAAATTTAGTTATACATGACATGTAGCAGCACTGACAGGAAGAAAATTTAGTTTACATGACAAGTACCAGCACTGACTACTAGACAGTCTACTGTGGTAATACATAGATGACTGGTAGTTGAGTGCTCATGTAAATATACAACAACATCAATTTCAACTTTGATCTTTGCTTTAACAGTTACATTGACACCTGCTGTTAAAATCTCTCTGTTTATCACAGACATTTTCACTGCATATTTCAAAATGTTTCCACCAAATTAAGAACTTTATCCTTGTTAAACTAACATTGAACTAAAATTTAGTTCAGGTTACTTTGAATCATAGATTGGGGCAACAGTTCTGATGACTTGTATACTTATGCAGAGAACATATTTCTGCTCAAATTATTTGCCTGACACAAAGATCATGCCAAATAGTGGGACCTTATTTCAGATGTGTAGGGATGGGAGGTGTATTGACAGGGGGGGGGGGGGGGGGGGGGGTTAATGTCCTAGACCTGATGAAACATGGGTTCAGCACTAACAGGTAGAAAAGGGGGTGAACAGAAAGTGGTTTTCTAGATAATGAAATGTGACAAACTGAGTTTATGTAATACAAAAATCTGAACTAATGTGATATAAAACCCAGATGTAACTTACCAATCTCACAATACAGTCCTCCAAAGCCCTGTGGGCAGAAACAGGTGGGTGCGTTGTTTACCTGGACACACTTGCCGTTGTTCTGGCAGATGATGTTAGGGTTACAGGTATCAGGAGGGATGGCAGTTCCTGGGGACAATTTAGGGAAATGGCAAGTTCCAGAAACATCACACAAGTCTTTTAATAACATTGTAAATGAAAATTATTTCATAATTTAATTTAAAATATAAAAAACTAAGTGACATATTAAGCAGTCGACAGCAACACTGCAGGATTTTTTTGATGTTATCTTGTCTTTAAAAAATTACATTGAAAAAAAGTAATTATTCTAATCACAACCCAACTCCGTCCTACTAATAGTTTAAATCAAACTCTTATTAACCACGTAGCTTGAAACAATTTCAACTGAAACCTAAAGCCTTAAGTACCTGAAGAAATATCAACTGAAACCTAATGCCTTAAGTACCTGAAGAAATATCAACTGAAACCTAATGCCTTAAGTACCTGAAGAAATATCAACTGAAACCTAATGCCTTAAGTACCTGAAGAAATATCAACTGAAACCTAATGCCTTAAGTACCTAGAGTCTCGCAGTAGGTCCCCATGTATGGGCTAGGACAGAAACATGTGGGTACACCATTCTGAGGATAACACACCCCCCCATTCAGACAGTTCAGGCCAGATGACTTGCAGGCGTTGTAGTTTGGATCAACTGAGGAGAGAAATTTTTTTTTTCTTTAAAGTTAAGCTTAGTGACAGCACACACTGGAATACAGTTTTGGGCTGTTTTCTTTCACTGAAGTTTCAAAACAACATTGTCTTTTAATTTTATAAATAAACAGTTACTTCCCTGCTCAGATAAATTACTTCCTTTGTAAGAATAAAAATTACAGCCAAATTAAAATTTAAAATACGGTGAGTTTGAAAAAAGCTTTTTTGTTAGAAAATATTTATGCCATTTTTTTTTACCAATTTCACATTGAGAGCCAGATGTTCCTGGTGGACATGAGCAGATGCCTTGTCCATTGTCTATGGTACACACCCCTCCATTCTGACAGTTGATTGGGGCACAAGGATTCACTGAAGTGACAAATTCAGTATTACAAGAAAACATAATAACATGAATAAAAACAACTATATCATTAAAAACATGAACCATATGATTATTTTTTCAACAGAATAAATATTCACATTTTAAAATGTTTTGTTCTCATGTTGTTATCAACATATCGGATAACATGAGTAAACACAATTAAAGGTATCAGTTTTTTAAAGCATCATGTGTAATAAGGTAGACTAGCAAAAATTTCATTAAAAAATTTATTAGGCATTCAATTAAGTCAAATTTGATGTCAGATTGCATTGTCATTGGGTCTTGACCCACATGCCAAGTTCAAAACAAATAAGCACTTAAGAAGTTGACAGGTGAAGCACAAACAAAACACAAAAGCATGACAGAGGAAGCAAGGTATATAAAAGCTTGTGAAAATAGGTTACACTCTCTTTAAATGTTGACTAGATCTTAAGATTTCTCTCTGGTCACTATGTGACTATTGACTCTCTCAACCAACTTACATGTTTCACAGGCTACACCTGTGAAGCCAAATGGACATAGGCACACATTTGTATTATTGGCAGTAGTTGAGCAGGTAGCACCATTTTCACAGACAGGATTGCATAAAATTTTAGCTGAAACAGTTGAAATATTTTTATGGAGGTGAACTGTACTACTTAATGCAGAGAAACTGATGATAAAAGCCTAACATCACTAAATGAAGAAATATTTCAATTATTTTAAATTTAATAACCTTACTTACACTTTAATTGTATAAAAGTGTAAAATACATTTAACTATTAGAATTTGAATGTGTGCACTCACGTTGACATGTAAAACCATCAGTGGCTAGTTTGAGGTTGGGATCAGAGCAGCTGCAGATGTAGCTGCCGACTGTGTTGGTGCAGATCTGTTGGCAATTCTCTGCACCACTGGAGCACTCGTCAACGTCTGGTATCGTCAAATGAAATTATGGGGTTTTAAAATCAGAGTAGACATTGCTGGATAAAATACACTGATCTAGATCAATCTAATAATAGAGTAGGCCTTAAATTAAAATTTGCATAAAAATAAGTTTCATGCGCCCGCTGCCTTGACCACTTCCGTTATGAAAAACTTTAAAATTTAAATCCTTACTTTTAGAATTTAGATTCTAAAAGTTTTTTAACAGTGCGCCAAACAATAAGACTTCTATTATTGTAAAGACAGCTTAAACTTACCGACGCATGTACCATCAGCAGCAACATCATAACCAGCTGGACAACCACATGAGTAGCCACCTGGAGTGTTAAAGCACCCGTTCGCACAAGTGTCTGTCTGCTCTTTACACTCATCGATATCTGGAGAATTCGTATCAGGCCAGATAAATTTTCCACATTTTTGTCAAGTACAGGCTTCTCATTACAATGCGAGCATGCCACACATTTATTTATATCTTGTTGACCATTATCCCAATATGGGTCTACCCGGTTTGATAATAATTATTATGAAGGAAATTCCCGTGTAACATAATAGAATAGATAAAGTAAGTGACCTAAAGTTCACATACCTGCACATTTGCCGTCAGGGCCTGCTCTGTAGCCAGGGCTGCAGGTACAGGTGTAAGAGCCTGGTGTGTTGGTGCATGTCTGCTCACATATGCCAGGGTTGGCGCTGCACTCGTCGATATCTGAAAGTGTTGGTCAAGACGATTGAAAGACTATACATCGTTCGTCTCCCAGTCTAAGAGGTAAAGCAACTCTGTCTTCCATAACAATGAAATCACTCAAATTGGCTCATTTCAATACATGGGTTAGATTTGCCAGTTTGGAAGATTGGCATTCGCCCCAACCGTAAACTACTGCGTACTCACCACATGAGCTGTTCCAACAAATGTACTCACCACAGGAGCTGTTCCAACAAATGTACTCACCACAGGAGCTGTTCCAACAAATGTACTTACCACATGAGCTGTTCCAACAAATGTACTCACCAGTCGAACAATCCGCACCAGAGTAGCCGGTGTTACAGACACATTTGGAGTTGGTGACGTCACAGTTGCCGGTGGTGCTGCAGGGTACAGGGCAGATGTCTGGGGAGGAGAGGGTTTTAGTCCACAGCCCCAGGACGAAACATTAAAAAAAGATATAATTTATAGAGAAAGAATACACACTTGAATCAGTCCCCCCCCCCCCCCCAAAGTTAAGTGCCCCTCACCCGAAGAAAATGCCTGAAAGAAACCCTGGTGACACAAGGGAGATATCTAGTTATGACATGAGAAGGTTTTATGGTGGTTATTTTACTAAGGGGGGGGGGGGCTACATGGGCGTGCTGTAGGCTACAGGCTTGCCGAGGTTAGGGAGGAGTTAGAGCAAGTTCGAGAATATTCGATCTTCCACTTGCTGTACATTTCATGAATGTGCGGCTGACCTAAACTTTGTACACCCATGGACCAACACAACTAAATGTCACAAGCTGAATCTAACAGCAGCTCGTATTAAAATTAGCAAACTTTATTTTAGGCATTTGACATTGTTCCAAGGGAGCACGTACAAATATATAAATAGTATGTTAAAGAACAACAACAACAAAGAAATGTGAATGCCTGTTTGAACTTTGAACTTACTGCACTTGAAGTTGGTGGGGTAGTCACATATGCTGAGGGCGGGGTTGAAGAGCAGGGTGCCCGGGCAGGTGAACTGGACCCAGGCGCCCCAGTCGCACTTGTAGAAGATGCTGCAGCTCTTGTCGTCGGGGGAGTGGTAGTCGGTGCCGTCGGGGTACAGCGGGCAGTAGGTCTTCGTCGGGCTGCCGTAGGACTGCCCTGAAAGGACACGAAATGGTCACAACATTTCCGGCAGGGTACAGTGGCGGTTGGTTGACAAACCGCAGCAGACGAGCAAGAAGATGTGAGGGTGAGTTTGTTTCGTCACGCTTGTATGGTCAACCGGATAACAATGTAATAAAAACACGGGGACAAAAAAAAACGAAGTTCTACAAATTTTGACGGGTATTTTGAAAACATGAAATTCTATAAAAAAAATTCTTTTTTTCTTTTCAAATTTATCTGGCCAAATGTAGAAAGTGCCAGTTTGAATGTTGTTATACAGCTATAAAAAGAAACAATAATTACTTTGAACAAACTATTTTAAAAAAAATACAAGCAGATTATTTCAATAAACAGGAACAAGATATATTGTAAGAAACAGCTGTAACAGGGATGACGTACCTAGGAACAGCCCGAGTACTGCCACAAAACACTTGATGTCCATGGTGAGTTGTCTGGCTGAAAATGGCGAGTTCCATTTGCAGCTCGCCTAATCTTGTTTGTAAGCTCACCCTAGACTCCGCCCACATACATTTGCATATTAAAGAGAGCCAATAAAAAGGAACACAAATGATTGACATGAAAGGTACTGAGGAAAACCCCAAGACGAAACGCTCCGGTAAATATTTGTTTATTTGCCTACCAGATCCGATACGTGAATAAAAAATCTGGCCAGATCCGGGATGAACAAAAGCCAGCGAAACAATGAGCCAAAATTCGATATATTTGGCTTCTATTTGAATGAGATTTGGCTTTTATTTGAATACATCGGTAGGTCACGGACTGCGCAGCTGTCGAGGTTTGCACACGACACTGAACGATATACGAAGACGAGGCTGGCGGTCAGACGTGGACATAACAGTTTTAAAAGACGTAAATGGTGACCCCGATATACGTATAGCAACATTCTCAATAACAAATATGAATTAAAGTACTAAAACATAATGTAGCTTGTTTTCCTTATGAAACTTTACCGTGTGAAAAAGTCGTGTCATTTGTTCTAAAAAATCCCTAATTCAACTATGGTACCTTTTGGTACCAATATACGAGCCGTCGTGATGTTTTGCTTTGAAATACGAGCAAACCTTGAGATACGAGGAATCAGATTAGCGGGTTTCACAATTTGTGGAAAACAAACGCCCCGAAAGAGTTGCAACTTGCATCGTAGTTATTTGATAAAACTGACCTAACTAATTCCCGTAACTTTCTGAATGGAGGAATGGATTGCTTGTCAACTTGTTGTGCGCCGAATAGGCCGGACCTTTGACTACGATTTCAGCCTGCTTTTCTTTTTGGGTTGGTTTGATCAATCAAGAATAAACTACAAGACAGCAATTTTTTGCTTGATTTTGGAGTTGTCTCCCCAGTTGTCCTAACCTGTTGAGCCGCACAAAAGTATGTAGTGCGGTCCATGGTAAGAACAATTAGGCAATAAATCCAGCTTCACATAAAGGCTTAGATGTACAGTAAACATAGCGCATACAAAGATCAAGTCAAATCTAAATACCATGCACATACTTTTGTTAATGACATGACAGTTTTATGGTTAAAGAGAGATGTACTACTGCATGCAAATATATGAGTAGATCTATTTGAACATGTCGTAACGGCCAGTTGGGTGGTCAACTCCTGCTAGTCCTTACAGGGTTCACAGCTATTTGGGTGAGTTCAATTGAAAACATACTTTTACCAGTGTCCCCCCCCCCCGTAAAAGTTGTCCACCCCCGCCCCCCCCCCCCCGAAAATATTAAGTGACCCCCCCCCCCCCGGAGAAAAAAGTCTGGAAGAAACACTGGGTGAGTTCATTGTAGGAGAGCCTGCAGTCTGTGATGGCAGCGTTAAATTAGTTTGTGCAGCACAGTCACCCATCTACAAGATTCTAATCGATTTTGACTTTTTTATTTGGCGCATTTTCTGTATGCGGAAAATTCTATTAGCGCATTTTTCTGTGCCTTTTTCTCGATGAGTCTTTTTCTGCGTGAGCACTTTTATTTTTGCTCACTTTTTTTGTAAACTTATTTTTTCTATTTGCGCATTTTCTGTGTCCGCAATTTTCCGTTGCATATTTCCGTTACGCATCTTTCGTTGTGCACTCTTCCGGTCCATTTCTGTGTTATCCCCCTTTGAGAAACTTCCGTCACGCCGCTTGTAACCCAAAGAAAAGATAACTCGTCACAAATATTGACGTCATCTTTGTTGTTTGTACACTTTTTGTCTGCTACGTTGGATGCTCCGTCAAAAATACAAATCAAATCTTCTCGACCAAAACGCTAGATCTAATGACACGATAAACAGACCTGGAAAACTGAATGAAAATTTGCCCTGGCGTTTCTAGAGCCTGGACAAGTTCGCTGTGAAGGTGAAGGTCACCAAACTTTACATACAACGGCCATGGGACCCAGAGGCGTAGCGCCCTTTCCCGGCGCCCGGGGACAAACTTTCGATTTGCACCCCCCCCCCCTCAAGATTTCGATTTGCACCCCCCCCCCCCTCAAACTTTTGTTTGCACCCTTCCCCCCACTCAAACTTTCGATTTGCACCCCCCTCAACCTTTCAATTTACTTTTCCAACCCATTTTGGCGCCCCCTAAGGTTGGCGCCCGGGGACGTGTGTCCCCCCGCCCCCCCCCCCTCGCTACGCCTCTGATGGGACCACGTGGTCCGCATGCACTAGTAATGCTGGTTTAAGAGTTTGGTATCTCTACATAGCCTTACATTTGTTACAAATTAAAAGCTGTCTGAAATATTTAATCAAAATATCGAACTTAAAAAAAAATTCGTACGTATTAAGTGAAAATAATATATATATATATATATATATATATATATATATATATATATATATATATATATATATATATATATATATATATATATATATATATATATATATATATATATATATATATATATAAGCCTACACATCTTCTAGAAAATCACACATGTTAAAAATATTTCCTAATATACGTAAATAAATAATTAATTTTGAAAACTTATTCAAACTTGTACACATTGTTTGAAAAATCTGACATATATTTTGGAAAATATCTTGTCCTTAGAATTTAAATAAATTAAAAATATTTGTATGTCCATATATTTGAGGCAAGTAGAGGACATAAAAAAAAGTATTTTTAGATGTTGAAAACAAGTTATGGTGTGGGACAAAACATGGGGGACAACATCTGTAGATCAAACAAGCGTGCCGATCTGTCGAAACAAAGACAACAGCAGATATTGACGCATCCTTGAAACTCTCTAAAGGGCGTGGCCACAGTTTGAGTGACAGGTCAGGAAGAAGGGTAACAAGACGTCAGGAAAATCTTTTTGTCAAACATTCTCGTCTGCCCAGCTGTGGTGTATTCCTGCCTCACGTCTGCAACCGTTCGCTCACAACACGAAGATGAAGGCAACCTTTCTGCTGGTCAGCTGTGAGTACATCGTTTTGTTTTAACCCTTTAACTGTGGTACATCGTTTGTTTTAACCCCCTAACTGTGGTACATCGTTTTGTTTTAACCCCCCTAACTGTGGTACATCGTTTTGTTTTACCCTTTAACTGTGGTACATCGTTTTGTTTTAACCCCCTAACTGTGGTACATCGTTTTGTTTTAACCCCCCTAATGTGGTACATCGTTTTGTTTTAACCCTCTAACTGTGGTACATCGTTTTGTTTTAACCCCCTAACTGTGGTACATCGTTTGTTTTAATCCTCTAACTGTAGTACATCGTTTTGTTTTAACCCTCTAACTGTGGTACATCCTTTTGTTTTAACCCCCTAACTGTGGTACATCCTTTTGTTTTAACCCCCTAACTGTGAGTACATTGTTTTGTTTTAACCCTCTGAACGCCTTGTATTTTTTATAACAGTTTTGTTTTAATCCTCCCATCCCGAAATTTATTTTATTTTAGTTTTACATCGATACACAATCGGGTGTGTCAGAGGCAGAGTTTCTTCTAGGCATCTCTTCGCTTTGTTTAATATTTTATTCACGTTATGCGAAAGTGTAAAAACAGTGCCAACTACACAAAACATTTTAGTCGTTATATAAATAAACTCTACCCAATTATTTACTATAAGACAATGCGATGCAATGTAAAAGCACTGCATGGTGCGATGTTAACTTTTATGGTTCCAAAATCTATAGAGATGACGGAAGGACTGACACACTACCAGCAGCGTACATTATAGACTAGCTGCATACCCGTGCTCCGTTACGGTGAATCATTTTATTATAGATGAGATGATTGAGTCTGTTGTTCTCTAGCTGAATGTTTGGTTTGATGTTGCAGGTCTTATGGTGCTGGCGTCAGTCAAGTCACAAAGTAAGTCTTGTTGGTCAACCAAAGTTGTGTGGCTAGTTGTGTGTGTGGCTAGTTGTGTGTGTGTGGCTAGTTGTGTGTGGCTAGCTGTGTGTGTGGCTAGTTGTGTGTGTGTGGCTAGTTGTGTGTGTAGCTAGTTGTGTATGTGGTGTAGTTTTGTGTGTGGCTAGTTGCGTGTGTGGTGTAGTTGTGTATGTGGTGTGTGATGTAATTGTAGCCAACAACAGTATTTATCTGACCACCCATAAGACAACATGGTGAACGACATTTGACACTCAGCTCCTGTTGGTAACCGGGTTTAGGAGTCGTGTAATGATTGAGACATTTAACATATTTTGTCTATGAGACAGTCTAGGAGTATTTCTAGTCAGACCTTCGCCTTCAACCGCAACAGCTGATCGAGGTGAACTCTGACCCGGACTTCTTGTACCAAACAGGTCAACTCAGCTGTAATAGATACCCAGCGTTTGTTGGTAAACAGTAGTGAGCGTTGAACACGGTACTGACGACGAGTGACGATACTATCATGACCATAGCAAAAGGTTTTTTTTTCGATTCTGACAACTTTGAACCGGAAGTGTTTATCCACAGCGCCATGTTACCCATGTGACCCGAGCTGGCCACGCCCCCTGTACTACCCCAACTTTCTAGACTGCGGCTCGATCTGGGAGTGTATGGGCGGCAACCTGACCTTGACCCAATGTAACCCTGGCACGGTGTTTGACTTCCTGCTTCAGGTAGGTCACGTGGTCACGGCTTCAGGACAAAAGATCGCCGACCAAATATTTTTGAGTGCAAGTGAAATCTTCAGGCCAGCGGTTCCCAAACGGGTTCTCACTGTCTCCTCATTGAAAACCCAAAATCTTGGCGCATCTAAACCCACACTCATTGCATACTATTTTACCAAAATGTTTATTGGTATTAGCAGAGGCGTAGCGACCCTTCCCAGTGCCCGGGGACAAACTTCCGATTTGCACCCCCCTCAAGCTTTCGATTCTCAACCCCCCCCCCCCCCCCCTCAAGATTTCGATTTGCACCCCCCTCAAGATTTCAATTTATTATTCCAACTCATTTAGGCGCTCCTAAGGTCGGCGCCCGGGGACATGTGCCCCCCCCCCCTCGCTACGCCTCTGGGTATTAGTCACTCAAAAATGGAAATTGATCCAAGTATATCATCTTTTACTTCTATGTAAAACTTGTTCCAAGTAACTAAAACAGTTTTCAAGTTATGTGTTCCCACTGAAATAGAGTAAAGTAACACTTCCGAATACCGGAAATCGTTCAAAGATTTATAGAAACCTGCGCTTACAATCTAATACTTCTATGTGTGTCTTTGCCGACATAACTTTCTGGGTACTTAAGCTATCGGCTTTCAAGAGACCAGGAGTAGAGTACGTGCCACTCCAGGTTGCCAGAAATCGCTCAAAAGTTGATAGAAAACTACACATTTGAAATAATACTTGTGTATACATTTGGTCAACATAACTGAAACGGAACACACACACAGTTGCCATCCTCCGTTATGTTTAATAAGAACATTGATAAAGTTATGGGAGATCACCCCCGTTTTTATTTAGATGTCGGGGGGGGGGGGGGGGGGGTTCAAACGAATTTAAAAAAAATATATAAATGGGCTATTTATTTATTTCATTTTTTCCCCACAGGCCTGTGTGATAGACGACCCATCCATGTTGTTCACCTGCAACAAATTGATTAACAACGTCACCTGCGTGGCAGCTGCATCAGGCTGAAATCTGGCCACACATTTGGTACCAGCTGCCTAATTGGATACATTAGAATTGTACACAGAGTAAAACAACATTTATAATTGTCTGAGTTTGTGTTTAGTTGTGTTTAGCAGAGTATGAATTCTTTTAGTGAAGGAAATATTTCAACCAAACTCAATCTTAAAATAAATTTTTTGTCAACCGACTACGTTTACGTGTTGTCTTTTGAAGGCTATTTGTGCAGTCTGCGACAGTTTAAATCTTTTAGATTGCTGTAGCAGTTGTTAGTTGTTGTGGCAATTGTTGTAGCAGTTGAGAACTCGCTGTGACGACTGCAGTGACGTAGGCAGGGGGGGGGGGAGGAGGTTAGGGGTGTTACAACCCACCCATGGACCTCTCTGTACATTTTTTTTACTGTCATAATACCACTGTTACTTATTTAAATCTATTTCTGAATCATTATATAAGTATAATTGTATATGTATGTTGAGAACAGTCATCTAAAAACTGACGCTATGTTCACTCTGAGTTGATTCCCCCCCCCCCCCCCCCCAACCCACCCCGAACTGATCTGTTAAGTACTTTTGGGAAAACGCGTAATGAGGTACCAAAGTACCATGCCACCAGAATCATAGTTTTTGAAACAGGTAAAACTGTAAATATTTTTTTTTTGCAATTACCAGTAAAGAGGTGTGTGATCAATACAATGATCTAACCCATACACTATCATTTTGTAAAAAATGATCTTTAAAGAACACAAAAACAGTAGCTAATAAAAATATGGATGATCTGAACTGCAGGACCAATATTTTAGTTGTAAGTAGGCTATCATTCAGAATGTTACACCTATGTGATTGTTCTATCAATTTGAAAAGCCTGATTGTATACCAACTCAGATTAAAAGAAAACGTTCATTATGCTGTAATATTTTAGCATTTACGATGACAATATATTTAATTCTGATTGTAGACAACATATTGTTGTAAAAACGAATTAAGTTAAGCTTCTATACTACATACTAAAGTAATTATTGATCTGTTTTGACATTAACAATTAAATCTTAAGAAATATACATATTTATATTAAGAGAGAGTGATTATTTCCCCTAGTTTGCTTGTCTTAATATTCTAGGAATCAATGTCAAATTTTTTTTTACAAGGATAACAAAACATATTGTGTTGCGTTAATTGTATTGTGAGTATATTATGTTTTTTTGTTTAGTGATAAATTGTTTTGTCGGCCTACATTGTGTTTTCTTATTTCTTCAGAGTACTACTTTCAATTTATTTTACATTATAGCAAAGCAATTACATATAGCTAGTATATATATATAAATATATATAAAATGCTGGAAAAAATTTGCCCCCCACCACAAGACGATCCTGACTACGCCACTGAGAATGCCTGGAAGAAAACTTTACACCAGATCACAGTATTAACATCTGCACACCAGACAGACACTCATGACAGGATTAACTTGTTTAACTTTTGTAGGACAGACTTTACTGGTAACAAAACAATCAAGACATTAGTAAGATAGAATTGACTTTATTTGAAAGCAACAATCCAACATTTTAATCTCATTCAGTTGGTCATGAAACAAACAAACAAACTTCAGACAAAATTGTAACGCTAAATCTGGCCACTCTCATTTCATTGTTGAATTATTTCCCTTTAATTGGGCTCTTATTTACAATTGTTTTTAAGTACAAAATAGAAATAATGTGTAAAAAGAAAATTGCACAAGAAAATAAAATAGAACATGAGGCCATAACAATTAAAATCTGATAGGAAACAAAACTTGTTCAAAGGGACAGGAGATAACATTCCAGTTTTTTAAACCACCTGGTAAATAAACGACTCTACCAACTTAAAATGGGACAGTAGAACAGAAACAAGTTTCTTAAAACACAACTTTTGTAGATACATTCTGCTTCTAATGGGAAGATTGAGGATGAAACCAAAGACATTTTGAGCCTAAAAACATTTGTGTAGGCAACTAAACAGGTCCCAGCAACAACGTGATGATGACATGAGATGACTACAACACTGGGCGCGTCAAAGATCCTGATCTGCCACACTCTGTCTCAGATACTCCTGGTACAAAGTTTGCTGCAAGAGAAACACACTAGAGTTAGCTGCAAGAGAAACACACTAGAGTTAGCTGCAAGAGAAACACACTAGAGTTAGCTGCGAGAATAGAGTTAACAGCACGGTTTAACACTGAATCACATTATCCAAATGGTAGGGGTGACACCACAGTGAAAACGTTGAGTGGCCAAAAGTAAAATGCGTTGTTAAATTTGGTTGAGTAAGTTACTGCACCAGGTGACCCTCGGGCAACCTAGTGGCGCCACTGAACCTAAGCTACCAACATCTGACCACTGGCTAACCTTCTTTGTCTTGACGGTCCCCTGCACGTATTCACTGATCTCATTCAGTTTTTTCTTCTGTTTCCTGTTCAGTGTTTGGACCGTTCTGGAACAATTACAACAACAAATGTCAACATATTTGGCTGAGAGAGCCAACATTCTAAAAGATAAATATTCATATTTTTTTTAATACTAGCCGTCCCGGCCAGGCCCTGCTCTGGCTTCTGTGAAAAACCTTTCTGTTAAAGACCATACCTATGTGTTTAGTAATCATCATAAACCCGGCATTGCTCACCCAAACCACGACCAACCAAAACCAAAACAACAAAACGCAAACATAAAGCTAACACAATTACAAATACAAACGAAAATAAAAACCTAGCAACAAACCCAACCACAACCACAAACACCAATACAAACACAAAGAAAAAACAAACGAAAACAAAAACCTAACAACAAATCCAACCACAAACACCAATACCAACACAAAAAAACAACGAAAAAGCAAACAAAAACAAACCAAATCCAAACGCAAAACCAACCAAAAACACAAATACAAACCCAAACAAAAAAAACACAAACAAAAACGAAAAAAGAAAGAACAAAAACGAACCAAATCAAAACGCAACCACTAACGCAAACCCACCTAAACACAAAGAAAACACTAACGCGAACATAAACGCCCGGGGCAGAATCGCCTGTTTTAGCTTAATAAACGACTATAGTACCCCAACTTATTCATAGTTTTTGCACTCACTTAAACGAACACGCCTGTTTCAATTTAATGAACAATTATAATACTCCAAGCTTATCCGTAAAATACCTACAACATTTGCACTTGATCAATCCCCGCTAATTATGTAATTATTTTTTTCCCAACACCAAAACAAAGTAATTAAAAAGTAAATGCTTTTCAACTAATGCAATGGTTTTATAAAGGGAAGTAATTGTGTTTTGCCTAATTTATCAAAGGGAAGTAAGCGCTATAGGACTAAATAAAGACATAATTAGAATTTTTGTAAAAGATGATATTTTTTAAAAACTTGTGTTTAATGAACATGCCGACAATTATTACTATAATTTGAAAAATGAAAATTATTTCCCAAAACTTTTAATAGTAATTTTTTAACTCATAAATTTAGACCAACGCGCACGATAATTTTCTAACACTTAAATCCATCGATAACCAGCGACAAACAAACATATGCGTTACAGAATTGAGCTTTATATATTAGATTAGAAATTCTTAACATTAAAATGCCACTAGATAATACAACCTGACTAAAACCTAACAAAACCCACCAAACAAAATGCTACGAAAGCTGAATCCCTCCCCCCCCCACCCCCCCAAACTTGACCTACCTGGAGGAAAACTTGGCCACCAACAACATGACCAGTGCCAGCCCTAGGATGACAAAAATGACGTACTGCATATAGTCACGAGGGACTGTACGCCAGAAACCACTCACTGAACCCTGAAAATAAGGGAAGGTTCTAGATTGGTTGATTGGTGGAGGCATGAATTCTATCAGGCAACACAGATCTTTCTAACAGATAATTCTTCAGTCCGTAAACAAACTCAGATTCACACATAAACTACATTTTATCACACAATTATTTCACTAACTAAAATTACACTAAGTAGCAACAAATATTCTTGTATGAAAAACACTACACAGGTACAATAGCAATAAATATTCTTGTATGAATAACATTACACAGGTACAGGTGCAATATATTTAAATGTACAGCTACCACAAGTACAACTACCACTGACCAGGTACAAGTCAAGTGTGATCATCAGGTTGTCCCCCAACAAAGCTGCCAGTACAGAGTGGGAGGTGTGGATCAAGAACGTAACCAATAGCAACAGAGGCAACAACATTCCCACTAGGCCATAGAAGAACCCACGAATGCGAGCGCGGAAGTTACGGGAGCGACGAAGGCTGAAAATTCAAAACAATCATGTACAGCTCATTCTACAAAAGTTCAAATGTTTTGTTTTAATCTTTCAACACTTTACACCCACTGTGGGTCACACTGACCTGTTCACCAATTAAGTGGGTCACACTGACCTGTCCACCCCATTAAGTTGGTCACAGTGACCTGTCCACCCCATTAAGTTGGTGTCACTGACCTGTCCACCCCATTAAGTGGGTCACACTGACCTGTCCACCAATTAAGTGGGTCACACTGACCTGTCCACCCCATTAAGTTGGTGTCACAGTGACCTGTCCACCCCATTAAGTTGGTGTCACTGACCTGTCCACCCCATTAAGTTCACTAACCTGTCCACCCCATTAAGTTGGTGTCACTGACCTGTCCACCCCATTAAGTTGGTGTCACTGACCTGTCCACCCCATTAAGTTGGTGTCACTGACCTGTCCACCCCATTAAGTTCACTAACCTGTCCACCCCATTAAGTTGGTGTCACTGACCTGTCCACCCCATTAAGTGGGTCACACTGACCTGTCCACCCCATTAAGTTGGTGTCACTGACCTGTCCACCCCATTAAGTTGGTGTCACTGACCTGTCCACCCCATTAAGTTGGTGTCACTGACCTGACCCCCCCATTAAGTGGGTCACACTGACCTGTCCACCCCATTAAGTGGGTCACACTGACCTGTCCACCCAATTAAGTGTCACTGACCTGTCCACCCCATTAAGTTGGTGACACTGACCTGTCCGCTCCATTAAGTTGGTGTCACTGACCTGTCCACCCCATTAAGTTGGTGTCACTGACCTGTCCACCCCATTAAGTTGGTGTCACTGACCTGTCCACCCCATTAAGTTGGTGTCACTGACCTGTCCACCCCATTAAGTGGGTCACACTGACCTGTCCACCCAATTAAGTGTCACTGACCTGTCCACCCCATTAAGTTGGTGACACTGACCTGTCCACCCCATTAAGTTGGTGTCACTGACTTGTCCACCCCATTAAGTTGGTGTCACTGACCTGTCCACCCCATTAAGTTGGTGTCACTGACTTGTCCACTCCATTAAGTTGGTGTCACTGACCTGTCCACCCCATTAAGTTGGTGTCACTGACCTGTCCACCCCATTAAGTTGGTGCCACTGACCTGTCCACCCCATTAAGTTGGTGTCACTGACTTGTCCACTCCATTAAGTTGGTGTCACTGACCTGTCCACCCAATTAAGTTGGTGTCACTGACCTGTCCACCCCATTAAGTTGGTGTCACTGACCTGTCCACTCCATTAAGTTGGTGTCACTGACCTGTCCAGCCCATTAAGTTGGTGTCACTGACCTGTCCACCCCATTAAGTTGGTGTCACTGACCTGTCCACTCCATTAAGTTGGTGTCACTGACCTGTCCACCCCATTAAGTTGGTGTTACTGACCTGTCCACCCAATTAAGTGACACTGACCTGTCCACCCCATTAAGTGGGTCACACTGACCTGTCCACCCCATTAAGTGGGTCACACTGACCTGTCCACCCCATTAAGTTTGTGTCACTGACCTGTCCACCCCATTAAGTTGGTGACACTGACCTGTCCACCCCATTAAGTTGGTGTCACTGACCTGTCCACCCCATTAAGTTCACTAACCTGTCCAGCCCATTAAGTTGGTGTCACTGACCTGTCCACCCCATTAAGTGGGTGTCACTGACCTGTCCACCCCATTAAGTTCACTAACCTGTCCAGCCCATTAAGTTGGTGTCACTGACCTGTCCACCCCATTAAGTTGGTGTCACTGACCTGTCCACCCCATTAAGTTGGTGTCACTGACCTGTCCACCCCATTAAGTTGGTGACACTGACTTGTCCACTCCATTAAGTTGGTGTCACTGACCTGTCCACCCCATTAAGTTCACTAACCTGTCCAGCCCATTAAGTTGGTGTCACTGACCTGTCCACCCCATTAAGTTGGTGTCACTGACTTGTCCACTCCATTAAGTTGGTGTCACTGACCTGTCCACCCCATTAAGTTGGTGTCACTGACCTGTCCAGCCCATTAAGTTGGTGTCACTGACGTGTCCACCCCATTGAGTTGGTGTCACTGACCTGTCCACCCCATTAAGTTGGTGTCACTGACCTGTCCACCCAATTAAGTTGGTGTCACTAACCTGTCCACCCCATTAAGTTGGTGTCACTAACCTGTCCACCCCATTAAGTTGGTGTCACTGACCTGTCCACCCCATTAAGTTGGTGTCACTGACCTGTCCACCCCATTAAGTTGGTGTCACTGACCTGTCCACCCCATTAAGTGGGTCACACTGACCTGTCCACCCCATTAAGTGGGTCACACTGACCTGTCCACCCCATTAAGTTTGTGTCACTGACCTGTCCACCCCATTAAGTGGGTCACACTGACCTGTCCACCCCATTAAGTGGGTCACACTGACCTGTCCACCCCATTAAGTGGGTCACACTGACCTGTCCACCCCATTAAGTTGGTGTCACACTGACCTGTCCACCCCATTAAGTTGGTGTCACTGACCTGTCCACCCCATTAAGTTGGTGTCACTGACCTGTCCACCCCATTAAGTGGGTCACACTGACCTGTCCACCCCATTATGTCACACTGACCTGTCCACCCCATTAAGTTGGTGTCACACTGACCTGTCCACCCCATTAAGTTGGTGTCACTGACCTGTCCACCCCATTAAGTTCACTAACCTGTCCACCCCATTAAGTTGGTGTCACTGACCTGTCCACCCCATTAAGTGGGTCACACTGACCTGTCCACCCCATTATGTCACACTGACCTGTCCACCCCATTAAGTTGGTGTCACACTGACCTGTCCACCCCATTAAGTCACACTGACCTGTCCACCCAATTAAGTGTCACTGACCTGTCCACCCAATTAAGTGTCACTGACCTGTCCACCCCATTAAGTTGGTGTCACTGACCTGTCCACCCCATTAAGTTCACTAACCTGTCCACCCCATTAAGTTGGTGTCACTGACCTGTCCACCCCATTAAGTTGGTGTCACTGACCTGTCCACCCCATTAAGTTAGTGACACTGACCTGTCCACCCCATTAAGTGGGTCACACTGACCTGTCCACCCCATTAAGTTGGTGTCGCTGACCTGTCCACCCCATTAAGTGGGTCACACTGACCTGTCTTCCCTGAGCTTGTCCCCCACCATGAGTGTGATCTGGTCGCAGTCACGCTCCAGTGAGTTGAGTGTGTTCTGAATGGTCTGGTTGATGGTCTTCTCTATCTCCTTACACACCTCCTCGATCTGGTTGACACAGCGACTGCCCTGTTGGATCACAGGTAGACAACTGGTTTCACACCCGTCCTACAAGTGGCCCATACTACAACCCATCCAACATCAGCAGGCCCCTATAAACCCCAAATTTTTTACCCAACACTAACACCTGACCCCCACCCCCAACGACTGCCCCCTTCCCTACCCCTATGACCCCCCTCCCCCGCCAGGTACCACGGACTCACCTTCTGGTTCATGGCAGGGACGTAAATGGTTGGCATGTCAAAACCTGTGCGGTTTAAACCTGGTCTCTTGCACAACTCCTGCACAATCTGCATCATGACGCGCTGGGGGAGATAATCAGTGGGGACACAATCAAGGGGAGGTAACAGGGGACACAATCAATGGGGAGGTAACAGGGGACACAATCAGTGGGGACACAATCAAGGGGAGGTAACAGGGGACACAATCAGTGGGGACACAATCAGGGGGAGGTAACAGGGGACACAATCAAGGGGAGGTAACAGGGGACACAATCAGGGGGAGGTAACAGGACACAATCAGGGGGAGGTAACAGGGGACACAATCAAGGGGAGGTCAGCTAACAGGGGACACGATCAATGGGGACACAATCAAGGGGAGGTAACAGGGGACACAATCAAGGGGAGGTCTGCTAACACCATCAAACTAACAGATGCTTACACTAAAGAGGTTTTACGCTGAAATAACCACTTTAAATATATCAATTCAGTTCAGTGAAGTATTTTTCTAAAGTATTATCCTGAAAATATCCCTGAAAACTAAGAAGTAAACGTGTAGAAGTTGGGATATTTTTGGATGAGAGAAAATATTTAAGTGGGCTAGTAAAGTGTAGGTCAGCGTGACACAGGGGCAAGGTGACACCAGGTATTCTAGAAGGAGGATACTGGGAGGAATTCAGTCAAGGGGAGATCAGCATAAGAGCACATCAGGTGAGTGAAAGATTTGAGCAGGGAGACAAATGGTGTGAGCACAACTCAACTGACAGATTTCACAGGGAGAGATACTGGAAGTGTCAGATGTTTCAAAGTTTACATCTCTCAAAGTGTACACCTCACCCCCACAACAGCCACAGTGTGGTCTAAAGCTTGCAGTGACCCCTCCCTGCCCCCACATACTCAGTCACTCCAAAGTTAAGTGACTTCAATGTAGTCACTGACCCCCACGTTGTACCGACCCCCATGTACCAACTGACCCCAAGTTCTAACTGGTAACCTAATTAAACTCTTCATTCATTAACCTCTGTGCTTATGAGGTCACTGACCCAAAACAAAGCCATAATCATATAACATAATGAATATTGATGAGGGTATGAATATTTATACCAGAGAATATTCATATCATGTGAACAAAGTTTGAAATCAAATGACTTTGATGGACCCCCCCCCCCTCTCCCCCAGAGTTGCTACTTTATTCAGACCCCACCACACACAGGCTGTGTTAGTTTGAGAGAAACACCCACACACCTTGTCCTTTGTGGATGGACAGTTTTCTTACACAAGAGTTGACTTATAATGTGTTAATGTGTGTTTGACTCATCTGAGTTGTGCATTCATTACTGTCACCCCCCCCCCCCCCACAAATGACCCCCACCCCCCCAATGACCTGTGCACTGACCTGCCTATCACTCTCATGTCCAGCCTCGTCAGCCTTGCTGAGGTAGAACTTCATGCGGTCAGCGTGTTTCTCATTGAGGGTCTCCACCAGGTTCAGGGTGCGTTTACACAGCGCTTGACCAATGGGGTCAAAGAAGACAAACACCAGGTCAGCGGTGTCTCCTGGTGGGGGAAACATGGGTCAAACCTCAGGGTGTGTGGGAGGGGTTCAGTATATGGTGTGTGGGAGGGGGTTCAGTATGTGGTGTTTGGGAAGGGGTTCAGTATATGGTGTGTGGGAGGGGGTTCAGTATATGGTGTGTGGGAGGGCGTTCAGTATATGGTGTGTGGGAGGGGTTCAGTATGTGGTGTGTGGGAGGGGGTTCAGTATGTGGTGTGTGGGAGGGGTTCAGTATATGGTGTGTGGGAGGGGTTCAGTATGTGTGTGGGAGGGGTTCAGTATGTGGTGTGTGGGAGGGGGTTCAGTATGTGGTGTGTGGGAGGGGTTCAGTATATGGTGTGTGGGAGGGGGTTCAGTATGTGTGTGGGAGGGGTTCAGTATGTGTGTGGGAGGGGTTCAGTATGTGGTGTGTGGGAGGGGTTCAGTATATGGTGTGTGGGAGGGGGTTCAGTATATGGTGTGTGGGAGGGGGTTCAGTATATGGTGTGTGGGAGGGGGTTCAGTATGTGGTGTTTGGGAAGGGGTTCAGTATATGGTGTGTGGGAGGGGGTTCAGTATATGGTGTGTGGGAGGGCGTTCAGTATATGGTGTGTGGGAGGGGTTCAGTATGTGGTGTGTGGGAGGGGGTTCAGTATGTGGTGTGTGGGAGGGGTTCAGTATATGGTGTGTGGGAGGGGGTTCAGTATGTGGTGTGTGGGAGGGGTTCAGTATGTGGTGTGTTGGAGGGGGTTCAGTATGTGGTGTGTGGGAGGGGGTTCAGTATTTGGTGTGTGGGACAGGTGGTGAAGTATGTGGTGTGTGGGAGGGGGTTCAGTATGTGGTGTGTGGGAGGGGTTCAGTATATGGTGTGTGGGAGGGGGTTCAGTATGTGTGTGGGAGGGGTTCAGTATGTGGTGTGTGGGAGGGGTTCAGTATGTGTGTGGGAGGGGGTTCAGTATGTGTGTGGGAGGGGGTTCAGTATGTGGTGTGTGGGAGGGGGTTCAGTATGTGTGTGGGAGGGGTTCAGTATGTGGTGTGTGTGAGGTGGTTCAGTATGTGGTGTGTGGGAGGGGGTTCAGTGTGTGTGTGGGAGGGGGTTCAGTATGTGGTGTGTGGGAGGGGTTAAGTATGTGTGTGGGAGGGGGTTCAGTATATGGTGTGTGGGAGGGGGTTCAGTATGTGGTGTGTGGGAGGGGTTCAGTATGTGGTGTGTGGGAGGGGTTCAGTATATGGTGTGTGGGAGGGGGTTCAGTATATGGTGTGTGGGAGGGGGTTCAGTATATGGTGTGTGGGAGGGGGTTCAGTATGTGGTGTTTGGGAAGGGGTTCAGTATATGGTGTGTGGGAGGGGGTTCAGTATATGGTGTGTGGGAGGGCGTTCAGTATATGGTGTGTGGGAGGGGTTCAGTATGTGGTGTGTGGGAGGGGGTTCAGTATGTGGTGTGTGGGAGGGGTTCAGTATATGGTGTGTGGGAGGGGGTTCAGTATGTGGTGTGTGGGAGGGGTTCAGTATGTGGTGTGTTGGAGGGGGTTCAGTATGTGGTGTGTGGGAGGGGGTTCAGTATTTGGTGTGTGGGACAGGTGGTGAAGTATGTGGTGTGTGGGAGGGGGTTCAGTATGTGGTGTGTGGGAGGGGTTCAGTATATGGTGTGTGGGAGGGGGTTCAGTATGTGTGTGGGAGGGGTTCAGTATGTGGTGTGTGGGAGGGGTTCAGTATGTGTGTGGGAGGGGGTTCAGTATGTGTGTGGGAGGGGGTTCAGTATGTGGTGTGTGGGAGGGGGTTCAGTATGTGTGTGGGAGGGGTTCAGTATGTGGTGTGTGTGAGGTGGTTCAGTATGTGGTGTGTGGGAGGGGGTTCAGTGTGTGTGTGGGAGGGGGTTCAGTATGTGGTGTGTGGGAGGGGTTAAGTATGTGTGTGGGAGGGGGTTCAGTATGTGGTGTGTGGGAGGGGTTCAGTATGTGTGTGGGAGGGGTTCAGTATGTGGTGTGCGGGAGGGATTCAGTATATGTGTGGGAGGGGTTCAGTATATGGTGTGTGGGACAGGTGGTGAAGTATATGGTGTAAGGGAGGGGGTTCAGTAAAGGGTGTGTGGAATTTCAGTAGGTCTATGTGGTGTGTGAGTGTTTAGAGCCACTCTGCTCCACCTACCCAGCCAGGTGATGGCCTAGTGTGTGTGTGTGTGTGTGTTTAGAGCCACTCTACTCCACCTACCCAGCCAAGTGATAGCTCTGTTGACATCAAACGGATACTTCATGTCCCCATCCACCAGACCTGGGGTGTCCACAAAGGTGACCAGACTGAACTTCTTCTGTTTGGACGTGCTGATCTCTGTGCTCAGGTAATCCACCACACCTGCAATACACACAGTCATCGTACAGGTGAGTCATACACACACTACAGGTAGGTTATTTAATCATTAGAGAAAAAGTTTTTTAAAGAAATTAATTCAATGATGCCACAGCAGGTGCAGGCTTGCAGGTTTGTGCCTGTACCTGCAGGCAGGTGTGTCAGGTGACATCCAGCTACAGTCAGGTGCAGGTGACATCCAGCTACAGTCAGGTGCAGGTGACATCCAGCTACAGTCAGGTGCAGGTGACATCCAGCTACAGTCAGGTGCAGGTGACATCCAGCTACAGTCAGGTGCAGGTGACATCCAGCTACAGCCCTTCATTTGGCAGCTCCCAGCAGGTGGGGAGGATAGCTGACCAAAGGAGGAGCTCAAGCGGGTTGTTGGACTCTCACATGGTTGGCTGGTTGTTTGGTGGGTTGGTTGGTTGGTGGGTTGGTTGGTTGTTGGGTTGGTTGGTTGGTGAGTTGGTTGTTGGGTTGGTTGGTGGGTTGGTTGGTGGGTTGGTTGGTTGGTGGGTTGGTTGTTGGGTTGGTTGGTTGGTGGGTTGGTGGGTTGGTTGGCTGTTTGGTTGGTTGGTTGGTAGGTTGGTTGGTTGGCTGGCTGGCTGTTTGGTTGGCTGGCTGTTTGGTTGCTTCTAGACATTGGTACAGTGGTCAAATGGTTGGTTTCCTTGTTGGTTGCCTTGGTACATCTAGCACTGGACACTGGTCAAATGGTTGGTACTAGACTTATCTCCCAGCCACTTTGGTACATTCCTGTGGTGTTCAAATATCAAGTGCTGCTGGCGTCCAGTGTGAATGGTGATGGCGTGTGGACAGCTCTTCATCAGGCAGCTTGAGAGCTGAGACAAGTCTACCAGGTGAAGAGCCGCCACACACCACACGGTAGAGCCGCCACACACCACACGGTAGAGCCGCCACACACCACACGGAAGCCGCCATACACCACCACGAACAGTCGCGACAACTGTGAAATTACTATGTTCTAAAATAATTTATGCAGTAGCCTCCCTTGCACCACAAAAACAATCTTGAGTTAAAAACGCAATAAGTTTTTACATTAACGATTTATTTTATAACAAATACAACGCCACACCAACCCGCGACCCACACCAACACGCGACCCACACCAACCCGCCACCCACACCAACCCGCCACCCACACCAACCTGTTTAAAGTCCTAAGTTCCAGACGTAAAAATTTATCAGCGACTTTCTTTTATTTATCCAGCAAACACGGAGGGCCAAAATCTATTCCTGACGCGCAGATTCAGCCAAATAACATCCTCACAAAAAACCAAATCCTCGGGAGGGGGTGCCGTCGGGAGGGGGCGGGGGTGCCGCCGACAGGGTGGGGTGTCGGTGGGTCACGCGCCCTGCCATTTATTTACTTGCTCGTTTGATTTCTGGGCGCCATTTTCTCCCCCCAGATAGCAGGTCTGGGCGAGCAGACAACCCCGCCCCCCTCCCCGTGTCCAATCTTCTTAAGACTATCAGGTTGGAGGGGGGTGGGGGTGGGGGTGGAGGGAAGGGGAACATCAAGTCACGTGAAAAAAAAAATGTGACGCAATTGATGACGTACAGAAGATCAACCAACACCAGACAGACCAGCTACACATCATACAAACCAGCTACACACCAGAAATTGACAGACCAGCTACACACCAGACATTGACAGACCAGCTACACACCAGACAGACCAGCTACACACCAGACAGACCAGCTACACACCAGACAAACCAGCTACACACCAGACAGACCAGCTACACACCAGACATTGACAGACCAGCTACACACCAGACAGACCAGCTACACACCAGACAGACCAGCTACACACCAGACAGACCAGCTACACACCAGACAGACCAGCTACACACCAGACAAACCAGCTACACACCAGAAATTGACAGACCAGCTACACACCAGACATTGACAGACCAGCTACACACCAGACATTGACAGACCAGCTACACACCAGACATTGACAGACCAGCTACACACCAGACATTGACAGACCAGCTACACACCAGACAGACCAGCTACACACCAGACAGACCAGCTACACACCAGACATTGACAGACCAGCTACACACCAGACAGACCAGCTACACACCAGACAGACCAGCTACACACCAGACAGACCAGCTACACACCAGACAGACCAGCTACACACCAGACAGACCAGCTACACACCAGACAGACCAGCTACACACCAGACATTGACAGACCAGCTACACACCAGACAGACCAGCTACACACCAGACAGACCAGCTACACACCAGACAGACCAGCTACACACCAGACAGACCAGCTACACACCAGACAGACCAGCTACACACCAGACAGACCAGCTACACACCAGACAGACCAGCTACACACCAGACAGACCAGCTACACACCAGACAGACCAGCTACACACCAGACAGACCAGCTACACACCAGACAGACCAGCTACACACCAGACAGACCAGCTACACACCAGACAGACCAGCTACACACCAGACAGACCAGCTACACACCAGACAGACCAGCTACACACCAGACAGACCAGCTACACACCAGACAGACCAGCTACACACCAGACAGACCAGCTACACACCAGACAGACCAGCTACACACCAGACAGACCAGCTACACACCAGACAGACCAGCTACACACCAGACAGACCAGCTACACACCAGACAGACCAGCTACACACCAGACAGACCAGCTACACACCAGACAGACCAGCTACACACCAGACAGACCAGCTACACACCAGACATTGACAGACCAGCTACACACCAGACATTGACAGACCAGCTACACACCAGACAGACCAGCTACACACCAGACAGACCAGCTACACACCAGACAAACCAGCTACACACCAGAAATTGACAGACCAGCTACACACCAGACATTGACAGACCAGCTACACACCAGACATTGACAGACCAGCTACACACCAGACATTGACAGACCAGCTACACACCAGACATTGACAGACCAGCTACACACCAGACAGACCAGCTACACACCAGACATTGACAGACCAGCTACACACCAGACAGACCAGCTACACACCAGACAGACCAGCTACACACCAGACAGACCAGCTACACACCAGACAGACCAGCTACACACCAGACAGACCAGCTACACACCAGACAGACCAGCTACACACCAGACAGACCAGCTACACACCAGACAGACCAGCTACACACCAGACAGACCAGCTACACACCAGACATTGACAGACCAGCTACACACCAGACAGACCAGCTACACACCAGACAGACCAGCTACACACCAGACAGACCAGCTACACACCAGACATTGACAGACCAGCTACACACCAGACAGACCAGCTACACACCAGACAGACCAGCTACACACCAGACAGACCAGCTACACACCAGACAGACCAGCTACACACCAGACAGACCAGCTACACACCAGACAGACCAGCTACACACCAGACAGACCAGCTACACACCAGACAGACCAGCTACACACCAGACAGACCAGCTACACACCAGACAGACCAGCTACACACCAGACAGACCAGCTACACACCAGACAGACCAGCTACACACCAGACAGACCAGCTACACACCAGACATTGACAGACCAGCTACACACCAGACATTGACAGACCAGCTACACACCAGACAGACCAGCTACACACCAGACAGACCAGCTACACACCAGACAGACCAGCTACACACCAGACAGACCAGCTACACACCAGACAGACCAGCTACACACCAGACAGACCAGCTACACACCAGACATTGACAGACCAGCTACACACCAGACATTGACAGACCAGCTACACACCAGACAGACCAGCTACACACCAGACAGACCAGCTACACACCAGACAGACCAGCTACACACCAGACAGACCAGCTACACACCAGACAGACCAGCTACACACCAGACAGACCAGCTACACACCAGACATTGACAGACCAGCTACACACCAGACAGACCAGCTACACACCAGACAGACCAGCTACACACCAGACAGACCAGCTACACACCAGACAGACCAGCTACACACCAGACAGACCAGCTACACACCAGACAGACCAGCTACACACCAGACAGACCAGCTACACACCAGACAGACCAGCTACACACCAGACATTGACAGACCAGCTACACACCAGACATTGACAGACCAGCTACACACCAGACAGACCAGCTACACACCAGACATTGACAGACCAGCTACACACCAGACATTGACAGACCAGCTACACACCAGACAGACCAGCTACACACCAGACAGACCAGCTACACACCAGACAGACCAGCTACACACCAGACAGACCAGCTACACACCAGACAGACCAGCTACACACCAGACAGACCAGCTACACACCAGACAGACCAGCTACACACCAGACAGACCAGCTACACACCAGACAGACCAGCTACACACCAGACAGACCAGCTACACACCAGACATTGACCGTGCGGACGTCCATATGAGCATAACGCACCGGATGGTCGCCTCCATACGATCACGTGCCAGGAGCTTCCACCATTCCATGGGCAGGATCGATATCAGCCGCCGCCGTGTAACGATACCCCGAGTATCGATTCGCACACTCACTCGCAGCAAGATGGACGCCGCCGGCTTAACCACGTGGCATTATGGGAAAATGCCGGCTGTCATTTTCCGGCATCACGGGTGCCATCAGAGCGATGTGTGCTGGTCACGTGTTGGAACTAGTTTTAAAATAACTTCCTGTCCCCAACAGCATACAGTGACCAATGGCAGCATACAGTGACCAATGGCAGCATACAGTGACCAATGGCAGCATACAGTGACCAATGGCAGCATACAGTGACCAATGGCAGCACACAGTGACCATTGGCACCTTAAAAAAAAAGAAAGCTGCATCTAGATATTTAGCGGTTCCGGCCAGGCGTTGCTCAGGCTGCAGAAAACAAAAGCTGATATCCACATTTATCCTCGCCATTAACGCCAAGTGTAAACGGTGTGTACCGAGTGGAGGCTAGTTCTGGAAAATTCCTCCCAGAAAAGGAAACTGAGCGTTTGATTATTAATGCCAGCTCCGGGAGATATTTCACGCGGTTCCTACCCCCCCTCCCCCTCCAGTTTCCCGTCCGACAGACGAGCTAAACCTACCCCCCCCCCCCCCCCCCCCAGCGTGTTGGGCCATGAGTTGTCTCGCCTGTCGCGATTATCGATTATCTGAATGAAAAATTGCATCACACAGTGGGGAGGGTTGGAGAATACACATTTTAAACGGGGCTTTTAGCCTTACAGTCACATTTTGTCGTTGGTTGGACTATCCAACCCCTGACAACCCGACCATACAAACCTTCAGTACCCCCCCCCCCCCAACATGACCACCCAACCAGTACCTGAGCACTACCTACCTTCAATTTGACGTAACGGTTCCAGGTATGGGTACAGGTGTAAGGTGGCATTGCCCTGAAACACGACAAGACATTTAGAGGGGGCGATGTGCTACAGCATGGTGGTAATTATATGATGTTGCATCATGGTGGTAATTATATGAACTTATATCATGGTGGTAATTATATGAACTTATATCATGGTGGTAATTATTATTGATGTTGTATCATGGTGGTAATTATATGAACTTATATCATGATGGTAATTATATGAACTTATATCATGGTGGTAATTATATGAACTTATATCATG